AAAAAAAAAAAAAAAAAAAAAAAAAAGAAAACTGGGCCAGGCATGATGGCTCATACCTGTAATCCCAGCACTTTGGGAGACTGAGGCAGGAGGATCACTTGACCCCAGCAGTTCAAGATCAGCTTGGGCAACATAGAGGACACAGCATATGCAAGGAATGTTAGATAATGGGAGAGACTGACTAGAGATGAACTTATCAAGGAGGTCAGGTATTGGTTGAGTCCCATCATTCTCATCCCAACGTCTTGCTTGTAAGAAGTTTGATTGCACGTCTATTTGCACAGAAGGCTATTGGCAGTCCTTCCAAAAAGAGCTGAGCAGCTTTACCTTGATCCTGGATCTGACCCTCAATTGGGAAACTGGGTTTTGAGAGCACACAGAGAATGAGTGCTGTATTGCTATTACAGCCACTTTAACTATGAGATGGGAATGGTTTAAGATGTGATGAAATAGGAGGAAGAGTTAGCTAATGGAGTTAGAAAAACAGAAATAATCACAGCTAGGAGAACCTGAAAAATGCGGTTTCCTGGAAGCCAAATACCTGCCAAGATCACACTTGAGCCCATGGAGTTTCCTACTTATTGGAATGCCTTCTGTTTTTCTCTGGCTGAAACGTTAGTACCCCAAGTTTTACTCTCAAAGACAGGATAATGACAGCAATATTTATTGATTAAACACAGAAAGCACTGACAGTCTTCCCAAATGAAGTGATACAGCATATACCATAGTTCTTATATTTCTTTTTGTGCTTTATTACATGCATGTATTGAGTCTATATATCTGTAACTTTACTTCTACTATTTCAGTTAATCTTCAGAACAATTCGTATGGTTGGTATTAACCCATTTATGCCTAGTATTCCATTATCAGAATGCTAAGCTTGCGGGAGTTATATCCTGCTGCTCAAGGTCATCGCCAAGTTCTGATTTTTCACAAAAAAATACTGCAAACTCCGGCATAAATAGGTTAATATCCCTCCCTCTTTCCTGTACTGGTGAAAAAATTGTGAATCAGAGAGTCTTAGTGATTGGCCAGAAATTACATAGAAAGTGACAGAGTCAGAATTCAGATTTGATTATGTCTGACTCCAAAGCCTATGTTGTAGCCACTCCAACCCACTGCCTCTAACAGTATAGAGGCATAGTATTCTTAAAAATATATTTTTAGAAGTTTTAACAAGTTAAGCTTAGAATTAGAAGCAGTGATGCTTTCAATAAATTAATCTCAGACAGTCCAGTTAAGGGCAAGGAATTTGAAAATGGCATTTTATATTGAAAATATCCTGGAAAGTTTCCATTACTCTATGGTTCTACGACATTATTTCAATTGGTTCAACTTTTAGTAAAAAGAGAACATGGCCAATAAAATGCTTTTTTCTACAGGAAGGACCACATTTAGTGATGCTGTTACAGTATCACTCATGCAAATCAGTAGGACTTAAAGATAATATTTTCCCCCTATTTCAGGGATAAAGTAATAATGATTTTTGGAGGCTATGCATTTAGTTTAGAGATGCTAAGACACAATCATGCTTTATAAAAGTAAGTTCTATGAAAAAATCTTAATGACACGATCAGAGCCATTTCTGTAATACTTATCTCACACTGTATTTAATTATTAATAGCTTCCATTGTGCTTTACAAACGTATGTCCAAATATTTCTTGCACATAAGCTTTCAGTCAGTGACAAATAAAAAAAAACCCACAAATATTTCTTCCACAATGCAATGTGAGACTATTAAATTCTATTTACTTGGCTAACAGCTAATCTAGTCATAAATATGAAATTAATCAGTCAGAATAGTAAAGGAGTGAAATATATTGAAAGAAGAAAAGATATTATACTTAAATAAGTACATGTCATTGGTTGTTCATAACTTGCTTTCCTTATAAGCCTATTAATTACTAAAATATAGTATTACACTAACATGGTAAATATGATTACAATTTAAATTATTTTTATAGGTGTATAAAAAGAACCATTAAAATTAGTACAAGTTAGCTGACCAATCCAAGAATTGTAAATAGTTACTTTGGCCTATTTATATTCCTATTTTTTACAGGTATGCATAAACACCAAAGAGAAAATGTATTTCACACATGTGAAACATAATTCCTGTGGCTGCCACATTTTCATATTGATTGTCATACAGCTTTTCTTCCTACCTAGTTCTTGATTTTAAAAAATTGTTTAAATAAAAAAATACTGTGCCAGATCTGGTGTGAACTAAAATCAGTTTCTGTAAATCAGCTTTTGAAAGCCCATCCTACTTTGTCTCTTCCAGATAGTTGTGTAGTTTATGTTAAGGGTTTAAAATCAGAAAACCCAAAGCTGCTTCATTTCTGAGCCTTTACTATCATTTAAAGTAAATTTATTTCCTGAGATCATATGATGCAGAGGTGGAGAGCAAGAATTTTGGAGGCTTTCTGGCTGAGTTTGAAATCCAGCATTGCCACTTACTGACTCTGGAATCTGGGGCAGGTTACATAATTTCCCTGTATCTCATTTTCCTCATGGTGATGATAGTAGCAATATATATCTCATAGGGTCACTCTGAGAGTGAAGCAAATACTAGCACCAACGATACAGAAGATAAATATAAAAAATATTATATTAGTCATTATAAATAGTCATTATAATGACTATATGTAATATAGTCATTAATATAATGTAATTATAAATACTGACCATATAATATATATTTTATATAATTTTTATATTTATAATATAAAGTATATATTATATAAATATTCATTATTATATAATAATTACTATACAAATTATATAAATAGCCATTATATAACCCAAGTTTTACTTAATGGCTACTGTATTAAAGTATAATACACATGCAGAAAGATACTCAGAAGTGTTCAGCTTACTAAAATTTCATAAGGTAAGCTAAACAATCCTGTAGAGCAAGCACACAAATTATAAAAGAGAAACTAGTTCACTCAAAGCCCTCCTCATGTCCCCTTCTTGCCACTACCTCTAAAGGTAACCAATATTTTGACTTCCTGTTAGCTTCATTAATGGCTATTTTTTAAACATTGATATTATAGCAATTGATAAAGGATTTATTGTAGTAGCATGTTGTTTTTATTTAATATCAATACTTAAATCTGCAGATTACTCTTTTAACATCTAGTTATATTTTGTTTTCTAGGTTAAAAAAGCTCCTTGAACAAGAAAAGGCTTACCAAGCCCGCAAAGAAAAGGAAAATGCTAAACGGCTCAATAAACTAAGAGATGAGCTTGTCAAACTCAAGTCCTTTGCACTCATGTTGGTGGATGAAAGACAAATGCATATTGAGCAACTTGGCCTGCAAAGCCAGAAAGTACAGGATCTTACTCAGAAGCTGAGGGAAGAAGAAGAAAAACTCAAAGCCATTACTTCTAAATCCAAAGAAGACAGACAGAAACTGCTCAAGTTAGAAGTGGACTTTGAACACAAGGCTTCCAGGTTTTCTCAAGAACATGAAGAGATGAACGCTAAACTGGCTAATCAAGAGTCTCACAATAGGCAACTTAGGCTCAAGCTGGTTGGCTTAACCCAAAGAATCGAGGAGCTGGAAGAGACCAACAAAAGTCTACAGAAGGCAGAGGAAGAACTTCAGGAATTAAGAGATAAAATTGCCAAAGGTGAATGCGGAAACTCTAGCCTCATGGCAGAAGTGGAAAATCTTCGAAAGCGTGTGCTTGAGATGGAAGGTAAAGATGAGGAGATAACTAAAACTGAATCCCAGTGTAGGGAACTGAGGAAGAAGCTGCAAGAGGAAGAACACCACAGTAAGGAGCTCAAACTTGAAGTTGAGAAGCTACAGAAGAGAATGTCTGAACTGGAGAAATTGGAAGAAGCATTTAGCAAGAGTAAATCTGAGTGCACCCAGCTGCATTTAAATCTGGAGAAAGAAAAGAACTTAACCAAAGACCTGCTAAATGAATTGGAGGTGGTCAAGAGTCGAGTTAAAGAATTGGAATGTTCTGAAAGTAGATTGGAAAAGGCTGAATTAAGCCTAAAAGATGATCTTACAAAGTTGAAGTCATTTACTGTGATGCTGGTTGATGAAAGGAAAAATATGATGGAAAAAATAAAGCAAGAAGAGAGAAAAGTGGATGGACTCAATAAAAATTTTAAGGTGGAACAAGGAAAAGTTATGGATGTAACTGAAAAACTAATTGAAGAAAGTAAGAAGCTTTTAAAACTCAAATCTGAAATGGAGGAAAAAGTATGCAACTTGACAAGAGAAAGAGATGAGTTGATAGGCAAATTGAAAAGTGAAGAAGAAAAATCCTCTGAATTAAGCTGTAGTGTTGACTTACTAAAGAAGAGACTTGATGGTATAGAGGAAGTGGAAAGAGAAATAACAAGAGGAAGGTCACGAAAAGGGTCTGAGCTCACCTGTCCAGAAGATAATAAGATTAAGGAACTAACACTTGAAATTGAGAGACTGAAGAAACGTCTCCAACAATTGGAGGTGGTCGAAGGGGATTTGATGAAGACAGAAGATGAGTATGATCAGCTGGAACAAAAATTTAGAACTGAGCAGGATAAGGCCAACTTCCTCTCTCAACAACTAGAGGAGATCAAGCACCAAATTGCCAAGAATAAAGCAATAGAGAAAGGTGAGGTTGTGAGCCAGGAAGCTGAACTGAGACACAGATTTCGGCTGGAAGAAGCTAAAAGCCGAGACTTAAAAGCTGAAGTACAAGCTCTTAAAGAGAAGATTCACGAATTAATGAACAAAGAAGATCAGCTTTCTCAGCTCCAGGTAGATTATTCTGTACTTCAACAAAGATTTATGGAAGAAGAAAATAAGAACAAAAACATGGGGCAGGAGGTCCTCAATCTGACCAAAGAGTTAGAGCTTTCCAAGCGCTACAGCAGAGCTCTTAGGCCCAGTGTGAATGGAAGAAGAATGGTGGATGTTCCTGTGACATCAACTGGAGTCCAGACTGATGCAGTCAGCAGTGAAGCAACAGAGGAAGAAACGCCAGCTGTATTCATACGGAAATCCTTCCAGGAAGAAAATCATATCATGAGCAATCTTCGGCAGGTGGGATTGAAAAAACCTATGGAACGATCCTCTGTTCTAGACAGGTATCCTCCAGCAGCAAATGAGCTCACTATGAGAAAGTCTTGGATTCCATGGATGAGAAAGAGGGAAAATGGCCCCTCAATCACTCAAGACAAAGGGACCCGTACAAATTCCAGTCCAGGGCACCCAGGAGAGGTAGTCCTTTCACCAAAGCAGGGCCAGCCTCTGCATATTCGAGTGACACCAGACCACGAGAACAGTACTGCGACTTTGGAGATAACAAGCCCGACATCTGAAGAATTTTTTTCTAGTACCACCGTCATTCCTACCTTAGGGAATCAGAAACCAAGAATAACCATTATTCCATCACCAAATGTGATGTCTCAAAAACAAAAAAGTGGAGATACTACTCTTGGCCCAGAACGAGCCATGTCCCCAGTCACAATTACTACATTTTCCAGAGAGAAGACCCCAGAAAACGGAAGAGGCGTGTTTGCGGACAGGCCCACATCCCCTATTCAGATAATGACAGTGTCTACTTCAGCAGCGCCAGCTGAGATTGCAGTTTCTCCCGAATCCCAGGAAATGCCCATGGGACGGACTATCCTCAAAGTCACCCCAGAAAAACAGACTGTTCCAACTCCAGTACGGAAATACAACTCCAATGCCAACATCATAACCACAGAGGACAATAAAATTCACATTCACTTAGGATCTCAGTTTAAACGGTCTCCTGGCACTTCAGGAGAAGGAGTCAGTCCAGTTATTACTGTCCGACCAGTAAACGTGACAGCTGAAAAAGAGGTTTCCACCGGCACTGTCCTTCGCTCTCCCAGGAACCATCTCTCCTCTCGGCCTGGTGCGAGCAAAGTGACGAGCACTATCACCATAACACCGGTCACAACGTCATCTGCTCGAGGAACCCAGTCAGTGGTGAGTACAAGAGGCTCCAAAGGGGAGGCCCGTGGAGAGAGGGAGACGTGAGTAGTGGGATTACCCCAACACCGCAGTAAAACGCAGCCACATGCCTCTCATGCTGCTGGAATCCACCAACCGATGCTTACCAGAGGACCATCCACACTGAGAACTGAATGTAAAAAGTGGCCTAGTAGTTTGATAAATTGGGCTAACTTTGAGGGAAAACTTCACCTATTCATGTACATTATGGAGATTGCTATAAAATACTTGCAAAAGTGGCCTCTTTGAAATGGTAGCCTATAGTAATCAGAATGTTTAAAATTTCATTTTAATGTTTAAGGTACTTTTGGAGTTGGGGGGAAATGCTCTATATGCAAGAAGAATTAAAATTGTTCCTAGATTATGTTTCTATAAACGAAAATATTCTATATGTGGTTATGTATGGCTACAGTCATATTTTATCCCAAAACAAGATGAGAAGATTTTAATATCAAAAACTTTTTTAAAAGTAAAAAAGAAGTGAGTTTACATGTCTAAAAACAGTATTTTATTTAATCCTATCTTGCAGAGAGCAAGTTCTTCATAAATATTTATTTAATAATTAGCTGGGGCCGGGCACAGTGGCTCATGCCTGTAATCCCAGCACTGTAGGAAGCCGAGGTGAATGAATTACCTGAGGTTAAGCGTTCAAGACCTGGCCAACAAGGTGAAACCCCATCTCTACTAAAAAATACAAAAATTAGCCTGGTTTGGTGGCGAATGCCTGTAATCCCAGCTACTTGGGAGGCTGAGATAGGAGAATCGCTTGAGCCCAGGAGGCAGAGGTTGCAGTAAGTTGAGATCATGCCATTGCACTCCAGCCTGGATAACAGAGCGAGACTTTGTCTTAAAAAAAAAAAAAAAAAAAAAAAAATTACTGGCTGGAAGGCTAAATGAATGATTACTGAAAAGCATGCCCAAAGCACAAAAATGAGAACTTAAATTCTACCAGCCTGGTGTACAGGATAAAACCTCATCTCTACTAAAAATGCACACACACACACACACACACACACACACACACACACACAAATTAGCTGGGCATGGAGATGCACACCTGTAATCCTAGCTGCTTGGGAGGCTGAGGCAGAAGAATTGCTTGAACCCAGGAGGTGGAGGTTGCAGTGAGCCAGTACCACGCTGCTGCACTCCAGCCTGGGTTACAGAGTGAGGCCCTGTCTCAAAAAGGTACATACATACATACATAATAAATTCTACCTTTCAAAATACTTCCAGTGATTGTCTTCATTTGTTGGTGGCAAATTGGTCAATGTAATTACAGAAGAGCTTGTACTGTTTAGATGCTAACGTAAGCTAATAGACTAGAAATCATGATTTCTAGACTCTGAACAAATTCTACAACATAAAATCTTTTAAGAAAGACGGGAAGCTCATAATTTAAATATAGATACTGTGGGTTTTTTCCCTTTATTTTTAATATGATTTTCTTTAATTTTCTATGCACAAACACAGACCTGAGGCAGGCTTCAAAGTGTGAATTACTAATTGCTTTGCCAGTAAAGCTTTTACTTACTGACTCCTCGTGAGCCAAATGGCATTCGGAATTGTTTACTGTTCTCAGGTAATTCAGTACTGCTTTTTAGGTAATATAGAGCACAGTTTGGTTGTGTAGGGTCTTGCTTCTTTCTGCTGCATTTTATAAAAAGATATTGGAGGTGTAAATCATTGTAACTTAGAGCATATTTTGTACCATAACATTTTCTTACCATTTTTAAGAGTCAGATCAAGATAGCCCTACCCTCTGTATCAACATTTTTGACTGCTGATTGAACCTCACACACGAGTAACATGTTAAAACAACTGTCTAAGACTTCTAAGTTCTGAATGGTCCACCTATTTTAAGTATATCAGATCTCATAAAATCAAGGACAACAAAAGGTTTGGAACACTTCTCTTAGAATTTAAACAGTGAGGCTGGTTCATTTGTACATTTATTCATTCAATATTTGTTGAGTGTCAGCTACACTTTAGTCATGGGCCAGGTGCTGGCATGCCAAGAGGACTGTAGATGTTCTTGACTTAGTGGGATAGACAAGATTTTAACCAACTTAGTGGTTCTGTAAAAGAGATATGTACAAAGGAGCCAATGAGAAAGCTTCGCAGAGGTGGAGGTTCCACAGATAAAGAGGGATTTTCAAGAAGGAAAAGGGAAGGAGTACGTAAACAGAACAGCGTGTGCAAAGGCACGACAGTGTGAAGGAGCCTGGCATGCCTGGGGAATGGTGAGCAGTCCCATTGTGCTGCTACCAGTTGCACATGGAGCAAAAAATGCAAGAGCAGAAAATAGGCAAGCAAACTGAGGTTGGATATTAAAGGGAGGCACATGTCTTATTATGAAATTGATACTTATAGAGTAGATAAAAGGAGCCACTGAAAGGGTAATGATCTTGAGAAAAACATATTGCTTATGTTTAGAAAGGTGTGTGGAAAACAGTTTAAAAGATAACTTGGAAGGGATGGGGATGCTGTTGCAATTCTCTATCCTAATGATGGGGCAGGCTTGAACTATGGTAGTGAAAATGAGGACAGAGATATAGTGAAGACAGAATCGAAATGATTTCATGAGAAATTGAGTAGAGAAGGTGGCTCGTGGTTTTCTGATTTGGCTGTCTGGGAGAATGAGAAACTTTATGAGGACTAGCTGTTTAGGAGAGAGAAGAGAAAAAGTAATGTTTGGGGCATGTTATATTTGAGATGTCTGGGGAACACTGGAAATGTCCAGTGAGTAGTTGTGAATAAGGATTTGCATTTCTAGAGAGCATTGAAGCCTAGGGGTCCCAGGGTTTGAACACATGGGGTAATAACTAAGGCGATTCCTAGGGTGAATGCTAAACATTAAAAGGAGGCTGAGAATGGAACATGGTGACACTCACATTTAGAAGGCAGGCAGAGTAGAGAACAAGGAGCCAGCAAGAGACTGAAAAGGGGTCATCAGATATGAGAGGTGAATTGAGCCAGTCCTAAGAAATCACAGCAAGAGAGCGCTTTAAAAAGGAGAATGTGGTCAGCAGCGACAATAACATGCCAAAACCTGAGGTCTTTAGGAGGTGAAGAGAGTGGCTTCATCTGAAGTGGAAGAAAGGAGGGAATGTAGAGGTAATCTGGGAGCAGTAGGAGTAAAGTTGCCTGAGTTGTTGCCTGGTGGTCTATATTTATTTCCTCTGTGAAACTGGAGTTAAGGCCATCTTCAGTAAGGGCAGAGGAAGTAAGTTAGTGCTCAGAAGAGAAGAAGTTTCAAGCAAAGTTGTTTTAAGAGAAGGGAAGGGGAGATAATCAGAGTGGATTAGATACCAACTCCAAGTTTCTCACAATTATTTTATCTGGGAAAGGTCATCTGTGGGTGTTCCTGTGTGGCAAGAGTTCCGCTAATATTCAGATTGATGGCATATCCAGAGGAAACTCACGAACATCTCCCTTGTATCTATGTATTTTCTCTCTTACAGTCAGGACAAGACGGGTCATCCCAGCGGCCTACACCCACCCGCATTCCTATGTCAAAAGGTATGAAAGCAGGAAAGCCAGTAGTGGCAGCCCCAGGAGCAGGAAATCTGACCAAATTCGAGCCTCGAGCTGAGACTCAGTCTATGAAAATAGAGCTGAAGAAATCTGCAGCCAGCAGCGCCACCTCTCTCGGAGGGGGGAAGGGCTGAGGGCAGTGGCTAAGGGGGTATGTTGTGCAGATGCTATTGCTGCCGTGAAAGTGAACCTTCATCTGTTTGTGCCAATTCTTTATATGTACTAATTTAAGTTTTAAAGATTGTGTTTATAAAATAACCAACTAATAACCATGTATCTTTCCTATTTTGGGCATTTGTTTTGATGCTGGGGAACACAATTAATTAGCAAAACTGTTGCTTGCTGTGTAGAAGCCAGGGCCTCAGGCAGGGCCTGCTTTCTAGTTCCAGCTTTCCTTCTAGGAAGTGGACCTATCAATAGACTGACCCATCTGAGCCTGTTTCCTTATCAATTAGATGTGGGGACTCAATCACATGCTCTCTAAGGCTGGCTCCCATATTTCCTAATTGCAAGCCAAATTTAGTGTACCTTGTTCCATAACAATTTTTTATTTAAAAAAAATTCTATTTTGAAGTAAGATATACTTTAACAATTGTCATTTGCCTCTATCACATCATGAATTTGCTTTATGTGCTGGAAAAAAAAACATCGCATAGCTATCACAGGGCCTGGACCTCTAAAATTTTGCAAAAACAAAAGCTTCTAAGATGATTTCAGGAAATAATATGAATGTGTAATAAAATGGAAATGAAATATGGAATCCTAAGAACAGAGTTTTACTTATTTGTGTGTGTCTGTGTGTACTGTAGAAGTTTTAACCCCTCCATAAGATTCTCAGAATTTCTTAGACAGTAATTTTAGAATCACTAATGTCAGACTCATGCTCTATTCAAGTGTGCAATTGATTTAAATTGTGGAATAGTTTGAAAAGAGCTGCCAAATGGCCTTTTATAGCTCAACAGAGATTGTGATGAATAGAAAATAGCAGAAAGTAAGTTCTGATACATTAATGCCAAGGGAAAAAATGACATCATGCATATCTTAATTGAATTCAAATATTTTTCTTAAGTATAGACTTGCAAGCGTAAAACCAGTTCATGATTTGGGTGTGTATGTGTGTGTGTGTTTTTGTGTGTGTGGTGTGGAGAAGTGGATTATTTCTGTCAGTTTTACTCTTGTTTGAATCAGTTTCTTTCATTTTTAGGCATGTTTTAATAAGCATGAAGCAGAGTGTGAATGCAAAATGCCAGGTGTATTTGTGAGATTAACCATGTTAAAGTGGGCCTTGTGCTTCATAGCCCTACATAACCACAAATGAGTTCAAGGCTAGTAACCCACAGCTTAGCACACAAGATCTCATATAGGCTGCACCTTTGCTGACATCTTTTAGCCAACTGAGCGAACTTTACAAAAATACAATAGCAAAACGTCATAGATTTTTATTTTTCCATCTTTGAATTGTGAGTGTTCCAAAATTATACGGATAGCACTACTCAGGAGGCTGAGCCGAAGAATTGCTTGAACGCAGGAGGCAGAGGTTTCAGTGGCCCAAGATCACACTACTGCACTCCAGCCTGGGCAATAGAGTAAGACTCTGTCTCAAAAAATGAAAAAGGAAAAAAAAAAAGGTGAGGAGCCATGTTAAAAACCTGCCATAGTAATGAGATTTCAAGGTCAAAGGAGAGAGACTGAGAAAAAGCACTTTATGATTTTAGATAAATTTGAAAAACAGAGCTTGTCATTTGGAATACCAGCTTGTATTTTTTTAAAAGGCGATTTTTCCTTTTTCATAAACTGAACACTCAACCCTTTCAAAAAAGACATTCACTGTTTTTACTAATGTGTACCTGACATTTGTGAAGTATTTAGTGTTACTGTACCATAGCATATTGTATTTGAGCAAATGAGGGTGTCAGAAGAACAAAACACTGCATTCCTTTTTACTCCACCTGCCATTCTTCAGTGACTTTTACCATAATCTTATTGCCACTTGCTGCTGTTTTTGCTTTTACTTTCTCATATCTTGCTTATGGTGTTTCTTCCTGGAAACGCTATCTACAGGAGAGTGCTCTGAAGGCTTAACAGTGCATGTACAGGATGTTTACACATCAAGATCTTGGAATAGAGCCACCCAGAAAGTACAACTGCTACAAAAACTTGGCAGAACAACACAGATTTGCTTTTCAGAAATGATAAAGGACAACCACCATGGCAGTTTTTCTTTGTAATTTTAAAGCCACTCTGTATTTATTGGATAGCTTTGCTTTAAGCCACATATTAGAAATAAAATCCACTGGGGATAGGAGGTGGAGGACTAAATATACCACAACTCCAACTTCCATTTGTGAAGACAGTACTTTTAAGATGCAATTTAATGTGCTTCTGTAGGGGTGAATGGGCCTAAAAGTTTGCAATATTTTCTCTGCCCTGAAACGTACTGCATAGTAAAATAAAAGGGGTCTCATCTTGGCTGATGTGTGCAGCTGCTGCTCAGGCCCCACCCTGAAATCTCGGGAAGGTGAGTGACTGGGGGTGGAAGGGTGTGCCATTTCCACAGATTTCAGTGTGATGGTGCCCTCCAGAGATGTACAGGACATGATCTACAAAGCTACAGAGGAGACCCTGGTCTTCACTGTCTGAGAATAATTGTAATGTGCGGACTATTTCAGCACACTATGGTGGGTGACCACCTGACATGCATGATTCCAGAGATGTTTCAGTATGGGACACAGCCTCAAGAGTGTTTATCGTTTTTTTTTTAACATATGAGCTATATATCTAGTCATCTCCTTAAAAGTTATTCAGTTTCTACTGGTGTTTTAATTGTATTTCCAGTGAGGACTGGTTGATGAGCGGCAATCGAGCTCTCGAGAGAGATTTTAGGGTATTCATTAAGGGTGTACCCAGAGCTCTTACTTGAATGTCTTCAAGAAAGAAGTGAAAAATAGCTTTCATGTGTAGTATGGGAAGAGTATAATTTCAGAGACATGAAAACAAGTCTAAGAATATGAAATGTAAAATAGTTGAATTTCTCATTCCCCAGATTCAGAATACTGGTGAAAGAGAGTGAGACTTTTCTTTTTGGGAAAAACACAGGGTTATAGATATGAAGAGCACATTTGTATTGAAGGCTAGAGGGCAGAGAGAGAGAACGAGTTACTCATTACTCAATGAGGAGATGGTCATAGACAGGATTTCCAGGAAATAGGAAGATATTATTCCAGAATTTCCCCAACCTAGATCATGTTTTTTTTTGTTGTTGTTGTTTTGTTTTTTCTGTCTCCTCCAGTGTCTCGTCGTTGGTTATTTCTTTTTTCTCTGGTCTTTCCACTTCTCTTCACTTGCTATTTCCGCAAAGGATATAAATATACTTTGACCTCTCTCATTTTAGCAAAATTCCTTGTTCATCTGTGCAGTCCTCTATAGCTACTGCCTGGTCTCCTTCCATGCCCAGGTTAGCTACTGACAGAACACTAACATTTCCTGCCTTCAGTCTCACACTTCCCATTTATCATTAGTCAGTTTTTGTTTTTAATATACAAATTCATATACATCGTTCAAATATTAGCCAGAGCTAAAAGACAAAGAAAAGAGATGTAGTTTACCACTTCCCTGAGCCCTCAGTTTTTTCCCCTGGAGAAAATCACCTCCAACTCTTAGCTGTTTCTTCTGGCATTTATCTTCATGTTTCTAACTAAGGTGTTTATATTGTGACTTTTTATTTCTAGATTTTAGATCTCTTTTTTTCTTCGCATTATTGTTTTGCTGGTTTCTCACTTATCCCTTCTCTTTCCTTTTTCTCATTCTCCCAATATGATTACATCCTCAACTTTTTGGTAAATCAGCAGCCAACATTTATATATTTGTGTGTTTTACAGTGCAAATTTAAATATGGTTATCTGGCTGGGCATGGTAGCTCACACCCGTAATCCCAGCACTTTGGGAGGCTGAGGCAGGTAGATGACCTCAGCTCAGGAGTTTGAGATCAGCTTGGATGACATGGCGCAACCTAGACTCCAGCCTCAAAAATACAAAAAATTAGCTGGCCATTGTGGTGCATGCCTGTTATCCCAGCTCCTCAGGAGGCTGAGGTAGGAGGATCACTTGAGCCTGGGTGGCAGAGGTTGCAGTAAGAGATGGTACCACTGCACTCCAACCTGGGTCACAAAGTGAGACCCTGTCTCAAAATAAAAATAAATAAATAAATAAATAATAAATAAGATTATCTGCTGAGCCAAGTAGTCTACTAGGATTATGCTCTCTTCCTCTTACCACATTTTTCCCTTCAAAAGAATAATTGTAATTTTTCATCTGCTTAGTTTCCTGTGTATCTATTTTTTTCCCAAATGCACCATTAGACTTGCTAAACACCTATCAGTAATTTTTCCAAACATTTAAATACAGCAGTTTCATGTTTTTCTCTGGAGGCCTCCCTAGTTCAGCCCTCTGCTTCCATTTTCAGTCTGGACTGGTTGTTTCTTGGCCTGCTGCACAATTGTTGCCCTTTTGCCTATGTTAAGTTCTCTGATTTCCTGACTACTTATATTTGACTTCTTTTATGTATTGATCCATCATCTATCTATCTGTCTATCCTATCTATCATCTATCCTATTTATCTATCTATCTATCCCTCTATCATCTATCTATCCTCTCTCTCTCTCTCTCTCTCTCAGTATATCTTCTTATAGTTTTTAAGAGGAAAACTCCTCCAGTAACCTTTCTGGCGCAGGCTATCTGAATTCTGGGAATAGGTCAGGGAGGTAAGATGAGAATCTTCAAGGTATAAACATTTTACTCCCCTGCATTCAGTCTATGCTGCCCATTCTTATGTCTGGGACCATGACTTCTTAGGTCAGTTTTTCCAGAAAACAAACCTCTAATCTCTAGTAAGGGAAAGAGCTGAGTTAGGCTGTGCTCTTTTTCCTCAATAACCAAGACATCTAATCTCCTTTGCTTCTCCTTTCACCTCTCTGCTCTGCCTCAGTTTCCCTTGTTGGCTTCTTATTTTATACATACATAATAAGGATGGATGTTTCCCACATCTCTATCAAAAGCCATGTTCCTGCTCTACAAGCTGGCTCTGGTTATTTTATCTATACCCAGATGCTGATGACTCCCAAACTTCTATCACCAACTGTATATCCAGCTTTA